TTTACAGAACTTTCGGAGAAATCAGAAGGTTGATCTAGCTCACATAGGGACTGCTTTACGGCCCGTTGAAGTCGGCCAGGGCGTGCAAGTTACGTATCTGGACACATCATTGGGTCTATGAAACACGTTCGGCCGAGATATTCTGTTCCTGTAGACTTGCAGTCAACACTCTTGTGTACAGCAGATTGTGCTTCACTTCCCAGGTTCGTATATTCCAATTTCATTTACATTAAGTTCTATCATTTATCCCCTTGTTTTGAGCCTCTCCTCATCGCGTTTGTGACGTGTTGCAGAATGTCATGAACGAACGAATAGTTTTTGTATTGGTTCACGATTTTGTAGAGCATGTGAAGCTTACCATAATGTCTGATTTGGAACCAGATGTGCCTCACTCAACAGCTCGAGGAAGATGCGGAAGGCATGTGGCAGTGGCATTGTAGACAAGAATGGGAAGAATGTCTTCTACCAGCACCAAAAACATCAATAATCTTTCTAGAACCAGATTATGATTGAGCTCTTGTGTTACCGAAAACAGGAATGATCAGAATTGGGTTGGCAAGTTGATGCCTTGCGTTGAGGTTAAGGTTCAGTGGTGAGCAACACTTGGGCAAGTTATCTTTGCCAACAACCATCAAACCAGGAATTGTTCCTTGGCCAGTTGTGTATGCCCAGTGTATGTAATTTTTAGGACTTGTAATATATCAGTTCCATTTTTATCAGAAATGATGGGAAGAGAAGAAGAATTTTTACCTTTGATGTTGAAAACAAGTTTAAGTTTGCGAGGAAGCATTTAATTGAAATTGTGGTTCAGTGTAATGTGTCCACCTTCAGAGTTTGTCTTTATAAATAGGGAAAATGCTTGTGTGTGGCCTTATATTAAGTTTACAGCTATTCAAAAGTAAGAAACCATAATGAATATTCTGACATTTTATGGGTAGCAAATTTAAGATAGTCTATGTGTGTATATGTATGTACATACATGTATTTTGACAATACAATACTCAAGTTTCTAATTGTAATTATTAACATACGTTACAATTGTTGTTTATTATATATATGAATAAAAATTATTGTACTTGTAAAAAAATAAAGCAAAAAATCATACAAAAGTACAAAGTAAAAGTACAATACTATACAAGTACAAAATATTGTACTTGTAGGGTTTCTTTTAATAGGCAAAATGGCAAAAAGTACATTAAAATTACAAAATTATACTAAGATTTTCTTCCATGGCTGTTGTTTAGTAGTAAAAGTTTATTCTCCTTTTTAATAGGGATATTTAACATGAAACTTTATAACAGGTATATAATTGAATTACTAATGATTGTTCATTCATTGATTAAAAGTGTATGTTTTAATGTGAGCATGAGCAACAATGTTACACTATATTTAATATCAAATAATAACAATTATTGTTAAAAACTTCGGGTTTTAATTGATATATCTGATTTTGCAATTAAAGTCTTAGGACATGAAACATGTTATTTGAATATATATATATATATAGGGGAATATTGCATTGACCCAAGTAAAACTTAAATTGACCTTTCTTTACTCTTACAATCATGTTACAAGCCATGTATTCCTCACCAATCCAAAATGGTAGTCCTCCATCACCAGTCCCTCAATTTCACATCTCAGGAGTTTGTTTTTTCTCATTCACAATTCACAATTACACTGTGTGATCCCAATGAGTGTCCAATGAGTGGCCGGATTGATTGAGATTTTGTACTTTTTTTTTGTGGCTTGATTGAGCAAGGAGAGTGTAATGTTGGAGTAGATAAAATGGGCAGCGGTGGTCAAGACGTGTTACCAAATGATAAGAACAAAGTTGGTTAATTTTAAGATTTTCATAGGTCAAATAGATCGCCACCTGTATAAATTACTTATTGTAATTACGTAGATTTCTAGTGCATTGTACATCCGTAATTATCTAGCAATTGATTAAGATATTTGATAATTTTAATATTCTTTGCGTTATCACATGTATTGACCATCTAATATAATTTCAGAATAGCCTGCTTGTGTAAGCTCTGTCTTCAAGTTTTTGTCACGAAATTATATGAATTTGAAAGGCAAGTATAATGACTTCATTGAGTTTAAGATTAGATGTATAACTATACATGTACACATTAAATATGGAGTTATGTAAGTTCCTTCACTTTTGTTTATGATTACCCAATATTCAATAACACTATTAGTGCACAATACTAAAATCTGGCCTTACGAAATAAATGATCACCTGTAACCCGCCGGCGTTTGTCCGTGCAGCGAGGGTGTCAACACGAGTATATTTTGCTGGTTGTCATCCGGGTGCCGCGCTCCCGCTCTCAGTTACTACAAATCCTTGGGGAAGCATTGGTGACAATTCGTGTTCAGCTGAGCTGGTAGATCTCATTTATTGCTACATGAATTGATTTTTTAAGCAGTCAAGCAGGTTGAATATTCATATCAGGAAAATAATTTCAGCGAAACGAAAGATTCTGACTATTTTTATCTAACCTCATCACGTAGTATGAATCCATCTCGAGGTTGTTTCCCCAAGGATTTGTAGTAACTGAGGGTTTTGCTCGTCATCGTGTGAAATTAGGCGTATCAGGCATAGTCCATGCCTACAAGTGGAGCGCACGCGCATTAGTATACGTATTGTATGCGTGTGCGTGTGCGTGTGCATATGTGTTTCGGAGTCAACGCGTCTCGCTGCCTGGGAGACGTTCTCCGCTGCGAGCCCCATGTCTGTTTGCGTTTGGAAGCTCGCTCCCGCCGGTTTCACGGCTTCTCGCAAGAAGTGAATCGCGCTTATTGTCTCACTTGGACGCGCTTCATATGGCAGTAGGTGGCGGATGTGGCGGGGAATGGTAGAGAACTCTTTCTGCACGAGGTTGGCACACGAGGCTGAGTCGAAACAGAGGCGCGTTGTAGTCGTGCGAGGGGATTTGCTTTGCTCTGCGAGTCTCTACCTGCGAGGATCTCCATACTTCGGATTTGTATCTTGTGGAGGGCTTGATGGCGGGTGAAATGCGGGTTTGTGGATTCGTAAGGTTGGTAATACTCGGATGATACGCACCTTTTCGCTATTCCTCTCTGTCCATTTTTTGTCGGTAGAGGATAGCTCAGTCGTCTGTCGAGATTATTATTCGATTAGTGGTTGTATTTGTGGCTGCGGTTGTTCGTTGGAGTGTATTGCCTTAAGGAGGCTTTCCTTGACCGAAGGTGAGGAAGACCAGGTTGTGAATTGGTAGAATTTGTTGGAAAGGCGTTTTTGGTGGAATCTTTTACTTGGTTCCTCGAGTTGGATCTTTGAAAAGATCGCGCTGGAAAGGGGTGTTGAAGAGATGAATTTTTCTGCGGTGCTGTGTACAGCGCCAGTTCTGATGAGGGTTGTTGTGAGTGTTTACATGAGCTAATTCCCTCGATCTTATATGAAGGGATTCGTTGACTGTGAATTCTACTTAATCTAGGAGTTACCGTGTGAACATACATGATCCCAGCCGAAAGCAAGACACTTGAACGATCCTCTGATTTTTGTCATGGAATTTGTACACTCATACACGTCGCTTTGGTCTGTCCTCTTTAGTCAGTAGACCATTCTAGCTGTAAGCACCTGCTTTCGTTCTCTGTATGAGAACAGAAAACGCTATAGTCCTTGTAGTCCGTTCGTCTACAGAATTGTAAGACATTCCAATGTGTACAAATTTCTAGTTCCTAGGTTCGAGCCCGATGGCTCTTTCGTTGATGTAGATATGTTGCTGGATTAGGTCAATCGGCCCTTTCCGTCTTCGCGAGTGAATTCGGCCAATTGCCATGGCCAACGCCTCCTCGCGCGTTGACTACTACAGAGAGATCTTGAAATGCATAGCAGAAGTGCAAGCTTCTCTGGAAACTCGAAGAGTGAAACTGAACAGGTTTCAATTGGAGCACCTGAAACTAAAGCTCGAAGAGACACAGCATTATCTGCTGACTAAGGAGGACAGACTCGTTGATATTTACGATGGAGACGACAGCCGACGCAAAGCTCTGCTATACCTGCATTTCGCGGCGGTGCGAGCCGCAAGGCTTGTGCAAGGTTGCTGCTGCGAGAGCGAGCCATGGCTGCAATCTGCGGTCACTCTAGCATATGTCACGGAGGATATTATAGATATTGTACAGGACCTGCGATGGTGGAGATCAATGGTCCACATCGCAATCGCCTCAGTCACGTGGATGCCAAATGGGGATTCCATAGAAGCGGAACTGATGAAATGTGCAGAAGAAGACTTTCAAAAGCTATTGGAGAGCTTTCACAATGAACTGGAAAACGCGGCCAGCAAGGATAGGAGTGAGCTAATTAAAGAACTGCAAAAGGTTGAGACCTCGTATGCTGGCAAAACTTCAACTCCGGAGCAGGAGCAGCAATATCTGCTTGCGGTTCATGTGATGTCTCGACTGAAAAACATCGTGGTAGAGAATGTCGTAGGTTTGAACACCTACGCAGATGGTCAACATCTTGGACATGGTTCCTTCGGGGCTGTTATGAATGTCAAATGGCTAGGGCGAAGGTGTGCTCTGAAGGTGATGACAAGTGTGGTCAGGAAGGAAGCCACTTGTCTAAGTCAATTTCAGCACCCTTACATAGTTCAATTCTACCACTATTGGGAAGCTTCAAAAAGCATAGTAAATTTCCAGGACAACCCCTCAACAGGCCCGGCGAAGAAGTCACACATTTTGATGGAGCTAATGGATGATGACCTCTATACTTACACGCATCCATCGTTGGAGACAGCAGAACCTGTCGGCATTAATCGGCGGGCTGAATCCCCACCAGCGATGCCAATTGCCGAAAATGTTGGTATTGACTTGATGATTCAAGTGACCAAAGCGATGTGTCACATGAACGGTAAGGGGGTCGTTCATCGTGATTTGAAGCCACAAAACGTGTTGATCAAGTATGTCCGCGGAGAGGAGGCACCTGAGCTGAGCGCTCGAGGACACTTGCGCGCGAAGCTAGCGGACTTCGGACTTGCGAAAACCACGGCCATGAGCTCGGCTCTTCCAACCTTAACAGCTTATGTGGGTACCAAAATTTACGCTGCGCCGGAGATCTTCCTTAAGGATGCAATTAGCGATAGAAGGTTCCCCAGGAGAGCTGATGTTTGGAGCTTTGGTATCATGTTGAACGAGATTCTCAGTGGGAAAGCGCCCTTTCCTCAGCTTGAGAAAGGACTACAAATGAAAGAATTGCCTGCGAGGATAAAAAGCGGTTTACGACCTGCGCTTCCGGACAATTGTCCAACCTACTTGAAGACCATCATTGAAAGCTGCTGGCAACTTCGTCCTCAGAGGCGGCCAAGCTTCCAGGATTTATGGAGGATGTTAAGAGTTGCTCAAGTCAGGAACTTAGGTATCATCAAGAGGGACCATAACCTTTTTACTTACACGCCGAGGAATCCTCCGCTGGGACCACACCCACTCTCTCCAAGATGTTTTCTACCAACTGTTTCTAATTCAAGGAAGAATCTGGATTTAGTTCTGTGGCTCAATCGATGGTTCGATTATATAGGGGGTAATATTTTTGGTAAGTGTACTGTCTGGGCGTCTTCCGTATCCTTTTTAGGTGTAAAGCGACACATATGATTTGCTCTTGTTAAAGTTGTTATATTATAGAGGTTTCTATTTAAATCATCGGTTCTGCTGTGTCATCTTTTGGTTATTATCACATCACTGTTTTGGCAACTTCTGCGAGCAGAGCCGACTACTCGAATCCCGACTTTCATTATCGGACGGATTTTTTCCAGGGGAAATGAAGGTTCGTGGCAATGTTTCAGTATCATCCAGTATATTTCTTTACTTGTCGTCGTTTCGAACGATATTTTAACATTTTATCAACAGAGTCGCCTCAATGGAAATCGGTTAGGAAATGATCTTGTCGCCGTCCAGATCATTTTGTAGCTGATCCGATTTAGATATGCTGGTTTTAAATTGTTCTCGGGTTTTCCTCAAGTTCAAGTGTTGAATTCGCTTTTACATCCTAAGTTGTAGACTTTGTGACTTCTCTGCAGCGTCGTCATTCTATTCTCAGTCGAAGTGCAAACCTCTGGTAAGCATCCTAACTTGATCTACCTTTCGAATGCAACTGATGAATACCAACATCCGTTTCTCCTCTTTGAACTGATAAGGAAATCCTCATAAATGTTGTTCGTCAAACTGTCTACTCTCCTATTTTTCAAACTGGACATGATTGGAAATCCAACACTTCCTGTAGTTTCCTGCAAAATATTACCAGATACTGTTGGATGTGATGTTAGCGTCAATCACGTCAGCTAGCACTGGTCAACCAATGCAAATTCATGTGTCCAATCAAGTTCTCATCCTTCCTGTTTCTACTCTTGAGCAGGGCTACTTTGTGAATCAAGTTTGGCCAGACTCGAATCTTTCGTCAGACTCGAATCTTTCGTCACCCTCGAGTCTTTCGTCACACTCGAATCTTTCGTCAGAGTCGAAGCTGGATGTAATTTTTTTCGAAGGAAATACAGGGCCAATAGATCTGTCCTGTGAGTACACGTGGGTGAAGCGGGATAAGCCCAACGTTTGGTGGCCCCAACACTGGTTGCCAACCGATTTAGGAGGTGACATTCGAGTGTTGCTGCTTAAGTACAGCATCTCGAAGTCCGGAATAGAAGATATTCTGCAGCAGTTGCTAACGGTATTTGTATACAGGTAGGTATCCTCGAAGACTTGATGCTCTGAGATATCCAATCAATCATGCACTAGCTTAACAGTTTCGTGTTTTAGCAGCAGCAGATTTCAGTTTAATGTTGTGTTTGAAAAACATCATGTGACGTTCTTTTGTATGTTGCAGTGAGGTTTGGAACCGAGGGCATACGTGGAGACATCCAATTGTACTGGTCGGGCACAGCTTGGGGTGTGTAATAATTGAGCACCTGATTGTGGCCCTTGACAAGAAGGTGAGATCAGCCAAATCCTCGGACGATAGTATTGAAGTTGTCCGGACAAACGTGGCGAAGGCATTTCTGGCGAGTCTGGCAGGGTGTTTCTTCTATGCTCCTCCATGGAGAGGGTTGGTGCCGAGCGAGGATCTTCTGAATCATGTATTTGGACCCCTAGCTTACTCAAACAAACTATTCGCACCTCTGTTTCTGGACTCCCCAGAGCTGGCATTACTCTCAGAGAACTTCATGACAGCAATGAATGAAAGTTATCAGCATGTGAAGCTGATGGCGTTACTAGAGGGCTCACAAACACAAGGGGTAAGCTGACATCTTTGTTGCGACATGTCCATTGAATGCTTCCATAGCGATGAGGTTAGACCAGGTATGAGATATTTACAAGATTCATGAGAACATTTACATGTCTCGTGAGGTATGTCTGGTTTACCATGTATAGGTTTTGAATGTTGCTTTTTTCAACCCTTTGTTATGTGTCCATTTGATGGAAATGAACAAAGATCATCTCCTAATACTGCTGAAGCCTGATTATTTGCAGAGAATCGTTGTGCCACCATCCTCAGTGGCTGACTTGAAACAGGCAGGTACGGTGAAGGTTCTGGAGGACTCCTGTCACAGAGATGTTTGCAAACCCACAAACCAGCAGCATGAATCGTACACAAGTTTTTTGAGATTCGTCCAAGATATTATGGAGAAGCCCAAGGTACGGATGCGCATCTGTATCAGAGTGTTCATTTGGCATAGATCAGTGATTTAGGGCTGTAGAACGAAGACCTGCTTTACGTTACTCTGCTAACATCGCATTGTTCACTTTTGCAAAGAGTTCAGTATTTTCTATTTGGTTTCAGCAATTTGATTGTATCGATACACGCCTAATTGTTCGTCGAAATAAATGATGTAGAAATGTTGATTATCCTGTAATACCAGCTTCAATCCGGGTGCAGGTCTCAGAGATCCAGCCAAATGGCGAGCAGCCGGTTGACATGCAGTCTTTGAAAGCGAGGAGTATGAATGGATATTGATATTGATATCGAACCCGTGCTGGGTTCGTCGGTTTCCGTGTTGGAGCACATCCTTCATACCAACCCAGGATGCTGTCATCAGGGTTATTTTGTGCATTGTTTGAGGTGGCAATTATCATTCAGAGTATATTTTCACGCAAGAGTGGGATGTCACAGAATTTTGATTTGGTTCGGAATCCGGTCCTGACTTGACTTGGTCGGTGCTAGTCAGACGCATTCGCAGGATTGTTATGGAGACGATCATTTCAAGAATGACTTCATAGATTTGGTCTGACCAACAAGTATCCGTTTTGTAGATAATTATGTAATTTTTTGCCAAAGCAAAACAGAAATTGTGAAGACGAGACCCATGTGTTGTGTAAGCTGTTATTGCTTGATGAATACTGTTAGAACTTGCCAACTGTTGATGTGAAAATAGGCTGTGGTAATGAAAAATACTATGTTCTGTAGGAGAGGCACAGAAATGAACTCTAAATACATCTCATAGCTTATGAATAATCAATTTATTTGTTTTTGAAAATTCACAATATATTTCGGAGTTGGTTTTAATGATACCAAGTACATATGGGAAGAAATTTGAATTGAAGATAATAATTTTACATGTTATTTTGAAGTGCATGTTAAATGTTTAAAATATTCAAAATATGTTTGAAATTCAAACAAGGAAAAATCAAAGACTTTCAAATACAATTTTTCAATTTAAATTTTCACTTAGAATGTTTTTACTTCATTTTTTTATCATACATGTATTAAAGTAAGTAAATAAAAGTAAAAATAGAATAAGTTACATTGCAGAGGTTATTACCTTAGGTAAGTTTTTATTGGTTAAAAAGTTGATTCTTAGTATTTAAGAAGACTAAGAGATAATGTAGATGAATGTATAAAAGATCTTAAGGGATAAAGGATATGCTAAATGCATATTTTTATAGTAGATATAGATATACTAGTGTCATGTTTCTTTACTAAGTTACATCATTGATAGACTAATATTATGCTTTTGTGTGCTAAATTTCTTAAGAGGTCTTTTTATAGTGATAAGAAGTTATTTGTGAGATTAGAAGTGTTCTTATGAGAGTTGAAAGTGATTAAAGAATGAAATCACTAATTTATTCACAAAAGAGGCATTTTAGGTTTCTAAGGAAGGAAGACCTTCTTGTTTATTTAGACAACTTTATCTTCTTCTTTTTTGATTTTCTTTGATATATCTCTTCATTAAATATAACTTCAAGTGAAGGTGAGAGTTTGAGAGTGATTGAAAAATTTGGAAATGACAATCTCTATCATTAGAAGAAAAAAATAGAGCTTTTCTTGGCTTCATTGGACCTTTCGAACAATGTTGATGAAAGTATAGAGCCTCCAAGCAATGATGTTGATATCAACGTGAAGATGGAGTACAAATGTTGCAAAAAAGAAGGTTTTTTGCATGATTGCAACAAATTTGGATGATGCCAATTTTTCACATGTTAATACTTGCAATGGACCAATGAAAGTATATAAGACTCTTTACAATATCTATAAAAATAAAAACATTTTCAACATTCTATGGACAAAGAGGAATTTTTTAATAATAAAAAAATAATAAAAAAATAAAAAATAAAAAATAAATAAAAAAATAAAAACTTCATGGATCATGTAAATAAGGTAAAAGCACTTGTAAACCAAGTAGCAGTTGTTGATAAGCCAATTGATAATAAGGACATTGTGTTGACATTGCTCATGAGCCTTTTAGAGTCCTATGACTATCGCATTTTGGCATTGGAGTCTATCAATGTAAAGAAGCTTCCTGTGAATTATGTAACATCAAAACTTGCTCTTGAAGTGACCAAAAAAAAAAAAAAATGAGCTTCAAAGTGATAACTCGGCTTTATTTTCCAGACAAGGCAAAGGTAGCTATTTTTATCAATATATTAATTCAAAAAGAAATATAAAAAATATCTACATTTATAAAAAATTAAGTCATTTTATAAAGAATTGCTACAAAGCTAAGAAAGAAAATAGGAAGAATGCAAATAATATTAGTGATAGTTTTGGTAGAGATGATAATGTTTTTATGGCAAGTGAAGGATCTTCTATGGCTACCATGTCCAAGTAAATTATAGACTTAGGTATTACTAAGCACATGATACTATATAAGTGTCTATTTGACACTTATGAAGAAATTTCAATAACAAATATTTGATTGGAAAACAATGACATAGTCCAAGCCATTGGAATTGGCTCTATTATGGTGGAGATTAATATAAAGGATCAAATGAAAAAGATCAGATTGAAGGAAGTCTTATATGTGCCAAAGATTTAAAAAAAAAAAAAAAAAAAAAAAAAAAAAAACGTTTTTGATAAACAAACTTGTATCATATGGTTGTAAGGTTTAATTTGATATGAATGGATGTTTTGTGCAAATATTGGATGGACAATATGTTGCAAAAGACCTAAAAAATGACAATCTCAACTTCATCAATTGTAAAGAAGCAAATAGAGTTGAAGTAGCGATATTTGCTAAATTTCTACAAAATCAAGATAAGTTTAAAATTTGGCATCAATGACTTTGTTATTTGAAAGCCAAAAGTATGAAAGACCTTGAATCTATGATAAGTGGCTTGGATCTTGGTCAATTTAGCCACAATACCATCGCACTTACTTGTGAAGGTTGTATCCAAGGCAAACAATAAAAGATTTTATTTCCAAAAAGAGCTATAAATAATCTTGATAAATATTTAATATATAATTTACTAAATAATATAATGAGAGTCATGTTATTAGATTTCAATTAGTTACAAAATATATTTAGATTACTATTTTGAAGTAGTTAGTTTAAAAAGGCTATTATTTAGGTTAATTTTATATTGATAATAGTTCTTTATATTTAAAACCACCTTTATTAGACATTGGTGATTCTTGGAATCTTTTTTTATTTCTTTTATATGGTGTTTAAGGCATATATTATGTAAATCTTATAAGAAAAAGGATTGGAGAGAGATTTTGATAGCAAAGAATTATTAAAGCATCTATATGGATGTATGGAGATGGATGATAAAAATCTCCATTGTTATTGCCAAAAGGCATGTCTAATGGCCTTGAAGGAGGCCATCTAATGCCTTATCAGGGATTAGGGTTATTCTTTTGAGGTGATTTGAACTTAGAAGGCTAAGATCAAAGAGTTTAGATTTTTGGCTATGGTTTTGGTGCAAATTTTGTGTGATTTGGAGTTTTTATGAAAGAGATATACGTACTCAAAGTTAAGATATTGGTTTTGTATCTACTATCACTCTTTTGGATATAATGTACATATACAAAAAGAAATGAAAGATTGGCGACTTGAATTTAAGAGAGGAATTTTGTTACTATACTTTTTATACATTGCTTGATGAATTTTAAGCTAAGATAAAAGAGTTATAGATAGTTGAAGTTAGCACTTGCAATCTAAAGGCAATAAGTAATCCAATTTAATAGTGGTTGTGTTTCGAGCTATATCTTAAGAAATTTGATAAGATTTTAGCTAAAAAATTTGAAGAATTTATATTATCATGTTATTAAATTTTATACAAAAATTTTGTGGCATTTGAAGTTTGGATTTTTGAGATATAGAGAAAATAATAATCAGATACTTGTAAATTAGAGTTTAAAGCTCCTGCTAAGCTTTCTAAGATGCCAAACGATTTGTTTTTGAATTTTAAATTCTTTTTTTTTGGGAAATTTTAAAAAAAAAAGTTTGGTTTTTTTGAAAATTCAAAAAAATTTGGAAGGTTGGGTTTAAAAAAAAAAATTTTTTAAATTTGGGGGAAAAAAAAAAAAAAAAAAAAAAAAAAAAAAAAACTTTTATAGAAGAAAAATATTTTGAAAAGATTTTGCTATAATTTGGGCATTTTAAATAAATTATAGAATTTTTTGGAAGCTTGGACTTTAGATATATATATTAAACATAGAGATATGGAGCTATGACAAAATTATCATATAAAGATGAATTTTTATAAGAGAATTATAGATTTTCTTTGAACTTATAGAAAATCAAACTTATTGACAAATAATAAGTTATGATTTGGTATAGCAAAGAATGTTAAGGAATTTTTAGATACTTTAAAAAGCCTTATATATAAAGCTTCTTATATAAAAAGCCTTATCAATCAAATATCTTTTGATATCATTGTATTTATTTGGCTTTTATAATAAAAATACATCCCTTATTGGAACTTGTTTAATAAGTTAAAGTTAAATCCTCTACATCTAAATATCTAATATATTTCTAAATAAAAAATCATACTATACAACATTGTATTAGTAAATTATTAAAAATTATGCATTCTAATATTTGTGAACTAATGAAGGTGCCTTCAATTAGAAAAGTAAGATAATTAGTTATATTTATTAATTATTTTTTAAGAAAATTATAGATTTATATCCTAAAAGCCAAAAATGAGTGTTTCTCAAGGTTTAAGAAGTTTATGATACTTAAAGAGAAGCAATGTAAGTACAAAATCAAAACATTATGCACAAAAAATAGAAGTGAATATATATTAAAGTATTTTGATAAATTTTTGAAGATTTAAGGTATTGTAAGAAAAACCTCTATTCTTTACATTCCACAACAAAATAGAGTTGCTGAAAGAGTAAATTGCTATATTATAGAGATGACAAGGAATGTGCTTCATGCACAAAACTTTGGGCATGAATATTGGACAAAAGCCATGGTTATAGTAGTGTATACAAGGAATAGGTGCTTTATAAGTGCATTCACATCAATGACTCCATAAGAAGCTTGAAGTGGCAAGAAATCTTATATTTTATACATGAAGATTTTTGGATGTATTATTTATGTAAAGATATTAGATTATATGAGGTTCAAACTTATTACAAAAGGTACAAAATATTTGTTTGTTAGATATTATAAAAATACCAAGGCATATATAATTATATATTTAGAAATAAAGAGGATCATCAAGAATCATGATATAGAGTTTTTGGAACATAAGAATACTTATGAATACTTAGAGATGTGTTTAAGTAGGAGTAATTGTGTATTTATAGATACATCTTTAATTGTAAAAAAAAACAAAGAAAAAAAATATGATAACAATGAAGATAGAGCAAATAAAAATCAAGATGAAGAACCAATGAAGGTAGACTATAGTATGTCTATAATTGCTAGAATGAGCAATGAAGACAAACAAAATGTTAAAGATGATGATAATGAGGAGTATCAAGAATTACTTATACAAAAATAAACTTCAAGAAAGAAAAAGATTGTAAAAGATCTTAGAGTACATGAAGGTGAATCTTCATCAACTGAAAGGAGTTATCTTTTGAAAAATAGAAAAAAACTTGGTAAATGATAGAAGAATCACATCTTTCCTTA